CAAATTTGGTGACTAAAAAAAAAAAGGTCATCAAGTTTTCGAAATTCCAAATTGGATCGTACAAGTCAATCAAATTATCGTACGCGTACGAATGGGGTATATATTAATACACAATTTTATAGAGTTGTTTGAATATTTACAAATTTTCATTCTAATTTAAACAAGGCAAGTAGAATAGCCTTATATTTTATGAGATACATCAACTCTAGTCTACCGTCTATTAATATTTACAAAATTTGTAACAGTTAAATATATTGCAACGCTAAAACCTAATTTATACACAAACATTAAATGTTATAGTAAACAATAATAGATTAAAAATTATTTTTGGTATATAAAAAATGTTACATCATATATATTGTCACAATAGTTAAAATGACCAAACGTTGTTATTATTCGACAAAATGTTTCACATAAAAAAATATATACATGCCGAATAGCTAAAATGCATAACGATTATAATATTAATATAAAATTTTTAAATAAGAAACTTTTTTTTTATCACCTACTTAATACACATTAAATCACTTCTCAAAAATGAAAGTAGCATTTCTCTCTCAAATTTCTATTCCTTGTAATCTCTATATCTTTACATATATACAGCATAATAGATGTTATTCTTTTTCTCTATATAAATAATATATTAAACATATTGACGAAGTAGTCATCTATTATTATTAATTGGGGTTAGGAACTCGAAAGTTCATTGCCGCAAATACCAAATCCCATCAGTGTTCCGTCCTTGAACGCTATCCTTCCATTTGCGGTCTTTATATCCTATTTCTTTCAAATCCTGAAATAATATTGTCCTCCCATCTACGTCTCGGTCTACCTAGTGGCCTTTTCCCGTTCAGTATATCAACCATAGTAATTAATTAAGATAACAAAATATCAATCATTAGTATAATGAATAATGTCACTTTTATTATTTGTTACAGAAATAATTAGAAAACCATTCAAATATAAACAATTAACTATGAAAAACAAAACAAATTAAAAATCATTAGACATGCAGAGTCCAAGATTTCTGATCAATACAAAGTGGCAAAGTTAATGTATTACGTATCACGAAAAAAAGGAAAAATGTCAGTTATCATCACTAGAGAAGAAAATATTCCACAAAAGAACAAGGGTCGACATGGCAAACATGTTTTTTAAAAAAACTTTTGTTTAAATGGATCGAACAAAAACAAAGTCTGATTTTTGATACGAGAGGAGTCCTTAGTCTTCAATAAGCAACTTAAGGGATTACCGACTTCAAAGTCAGTTGAAGCTAGTCAGAAAGATTCAAGGTAAGATTTGAAATTTATCAATTTAACATTTTTAAAGAGAGTAATTGTCAACAAACGTAAATGAAGCTGCAGAATTCAAATAGAAATTTTCCCAAATTATTGAATAATCAGTACGAAAAGATTTAGAGATGCACCTACACGGCTTTTTGACATAGAACTGCTAGAAAAATGTTTAAAAACGGAAAATTACGAAGTGTGTAGGTCCACAAAAATAGAATAAATTTTATAAAATAATTTACAATAATAAATAATCTGTAGATATTAATCATTTGTATATATGTTTAAAGTGCGGAATACCAGGACTGTAAATATGAAATCGAAATTTGCTCATAATTGGCTAGCTATCAATGTAATTAGTGTCAAACTGCTTCATTGGCGCAGTGACTTACTCACTAAACTTGGCTTTGTCCGATTATTACTTATTTGCGTCGATGGTCTTATCGGTGGGAAAATATATAGTTAGCGATGGACAATACTTCATATAAATTATTTTTTATCATTTTCATACAATAAACGCGTATTTTCTACACAAAAATTCCAGTTTTTCATATTTACATAGATGGTAAAATGCGCAGTTATATTCTCAGAAAATTATAGAAACGATTATAATTAACGCTAATTATTATAGAACAATTAATTTTTACGAAAAAACATCTCTTTATATACTGTTAACAGTGTTACAATACGTTATAAAGACAAAAAGTGTGAAATATACAACATATGTATATATATATATATATATATATATATATATATATATATATAT